ACCAGGTCCCACCACTTTTTGATGTCCTCCACTTTTCCTGCTCCGGTTAGGTCATCAGCGTAAGCCACTTGCTTGACCTCGGTTGGTTCATATTTTATTGTATGTTGGGGCACTGACAGGCCTAGTGTGTACATTGCCCTGGTGACAGGGTTCCCTGCGTTGTTCTCTCAGTTAACTGTATGGTGGTATCTCTTCTTAGGGCCTTGAAGCTTGTTATATAGAGGTCTGATGGGTTCCTATAGGTGTTTTCAACTTAATTACAAAGCTTGGATACTTGATCTTGATGTTGTGCAGTGTAGCCTTGCAATTGATCATGTTGAATGAGTTGGAAGCGTCAACCAGGAGTAATGCCTCACAATCACGCTGCTCAAAAATCTTTCTCAAGGCGTGAGTGGCAGCTTCACCTCCAGCATGGTAGCCAGCACATACTTGCAGGTTCCCTGCAGCTGCCCTGACATAATCATTTACCACCTCCATTATGTATTTTCCAATTATCCGTCTCAGCACTTTCCACAACCCTATAGGCCTACATCCTGGACTTTTATCCAGGTGAATGAGGCTGCAGGCCGTCAGAGCATGGAGCTGGTGACAACACGAGGTTGCTAGCTTTCTTGCAGGGGCGGCTGTGGCATTACAGAGATCACTTGCTGAGCCACCAAACTGTTAGTGTTGAGGATGACTCTCCAACCGTCTACCTCCAGGCCTGAAGGGCCTACTACTATACTACTACTATTACTCCTATACTACTACTATATTACTACTACGCAACTACTACATGTATCGTATCTGGTTGTGGCAAAGTTACTAATTTTGGTGGTGCCAGAGGGTATTTAGGGCAGGACCAACAAGGGCGCTCCTGTTATTGCCTCGTTTATCACCTCCAAGTTACGTAAAGCAGAGATCAACATTTAACATACATTCTCCTCCTCTCCTCCTTCTGCCCTCCTCCTTCTAACCCTCCTGGCTCTTCTTCCTCCTCCCTCCCCCTCCCTACTTTCATTTATGTTCGGTTTCTGGAACCCACAATGGCTAATGACTGTTCTCACCAACTATGGGTTTCCGACGTGACGTTCTGGTGTTCTGGTATTATTCTGGTAGTACTTAATTAGTTAAACCCATTAAATTTGAAGCCTGAGAGACAAGTGTTATTATTTGACACATTATATCAGCGTCTACATATGGTCTTCGAGGGTTTGTATCAATGCTTTGAATTGTGTGATATACCGAGATGTGTGGTAAGCGCTAGTGTCCATATAAGAATCTTTTCCACCAATCAGCTTCATTATAAAAAGGGCAGACCAGCATTAGATATATCTAAAGAACTTAGTAAACTTAAAAAAAAATCCATTGTTAAAAGACTAATACATATTCAATTATGGCATTACTCAGCCACACAGGAATAAACCCTCACCACAGGGAGTAAAGGAAGTTCAGGCAACAGTATGTCACCCACAAAACCCCTGTCGCCTCTCCCTCCTGAACCACGAACCCAGAGATTCAGATTCGTGAATCCGAAGCTTTATGAACAGAATAATGCATCGGGAGTTCCAAAGCTTCAGGTTTCATGCAGAGTATGACCCAGTGGTCGTGGAACAGTAAGCAGGAGGCTACAGGACCTTTGTAGTTCTTCGTAGGCCTGGCAATACTTTCAATGCAATAATGAGTTTGTGTTTCGGAGGACCATTATCATTATTAAGTATTGTAATGCTTAATACTTTATCATCATTATCATTATTACAACTGTCATTGTTACACTTGTTCTCTTTATGATTTATTTTCACTTTCATCATCATCATCATCATCATCATCATCATCAATAATCATTATCATCATCATCATCATCATCATCATCATCATCATCAATAATCATCATCATCATCATCATCATCATCAAAAATCATCATCATCATCATCAATAATCATCAACATAAATAATCATCATTAATCATCATCATCATCATCAATAATCATCATCATCATCATCATCATCATCATCAATAATCATCATAAATAATCATCATTAATCATCATCATCAATAATCATCATCATCATCATCAATCTTAACTCTCATGGGATTCAGTTCTTGTCTTCTCACCTGTTACATCTACCCAACACCAGGTGATCAAAAAGTACTTGTGCCACCAGTGATGATTGAAACTACCAATGTTCTTTGATATATCGACAGTGTTATATAATTATAACTAAATTATTATATACCTTTCTCAACTTATGGTAAATATTGGAAATAGAATCTTATTGTAACATAATTATGAGTCTTTTTAATATTAACTCTAAGTAGATTAGGATTATAAATGAATTGTGAATTATTACAGGTACACGGGAACTTTTCGAACATCTCGTTTATCAGTAGGTTAAGGTGTGGTGATAAACAAATGGTGATACAGTGTTTAAAATTAACTTAACCTATTATTACACACACACACACACACACACATACTTGTAGTTACTAGTATTGTTATTCATCATTGTAATTATTATTATTTCTTCTATTTTATTATATACTAATATAGTTTTACCACATATTTTATTATTTCTATTATTTTTTTATTAGTATTATTATCACTATTATTATTACTAAAACTGTTTTCATTATCATTACTCTTCTTGTTATAATTATTATCATCATCCACATCATTATTCTCATCATGATTATAAATCCATCATTATCGCATTTTTCTTCTATTTCGTTAAGGCAGTTATCAAAGATAATAAAAAGGTTTCCTTTGAGTTTATTTATTTACATGCATAAAATGTTCCATATGTTTATGTTTTACACTGAAACAGAAGGCAAGGTTCTTTCGTCAATCAGTGGGCTGGTTCTCGTTTAACCAGTGAGATCGTTTGTCCGTTAATCAGTGGACTGTCTTCGTTAACCAGTGGACTGTCCTCGTCAACCAGTGGGCTGTTTTCGTTAACCAGTGTATTGTCCCCGTCAATCAGTGGACTGTTCTCGTCAACCAGTGGACTGTCTTCGTTAACCAGTGGACTGTCCTCGTCAATCAGTGGGCTGTTCTCGTTAATCAGTGGACTGTCTTCGTTAACCAGTGGACTGTCCTCGTCAACCAGTGGGCTGTTTTCGTTAACCAGTGTATTGTCCTCGTCAATCAGTGGACTGTTCTCGTCAACTAGTAAGCTGCCCTCGTCAACTAGTGGGGTGTCCTCGTCAATCAGTGGGCTGTCCTCTTCAACCAGTGAGCTGACCTCATCAACCAGTGAGGTGTCCTCGTCAACCAGTAGCCTGTCCTTGTCAACCAGTGGGCTGTCCTCGTCAACCAGTGGGCTGTCTTCGTCAACCAGTGGGGTGTCCTCGTCAACCAGTGGGCGGACCTCGTTATCCCCAAATTACAATTTGGCTTGCCTTGGCCAACCATAATGTGGTATGTCTAGGTAAAGGTTCGTGTCTCGTTCTGATTGGATGTTTCCCAGTAAAGCTCCGGCCCTCATTTATCAACACATGCAGGTTTCATTCTCATTGGCTATTTTCTCCAGAAGCTCCTCCCCCTCAGGCATAAACAGATGCAAGTGTCTCATTCTCATTGGTTATCCATACCAGTAACATCCCCCCCCCCAACCCCCAGGACGAAAACACATACAGGTCATTATTCTCATTGGGTATTTCCTCCAGTAAGCTCCTCCCCTCCGACGTCACCAATTATAAGTGTCTTCTTCCCATTGGTTGCTTCTTCTATCATGACTCCTTCATTTACACATCATCAAATACATGTAGCACTCCCTGATTAGTTCCGAGCCCAACTGACTCCTCCCCGTCAAACGTCAGCACATACACGTCTTATTCTCACTGGTTGCTTCCTCCAATAAACTCCTTCCCTTCAGACGCCAACAGACACATGGTTCATTCTCATTGGGTGCTTCCTCTACCTAGCTCCTCCCCTTGCACAGATGTCATGCTTTGATTGGCTCCTTGTCCTGCAATATCCCCGAGTATGGAGTGTGATAACCAATTCACATTAATAGACTTTCTGAATGTTTATATCATGAGTAGTTATTAGACAATGTATGGGATGACACTTTAAATGACACACACACACGCACACACACACACAGTTAAATAAATATTACATCACTGCCACTTATGGACGTATTAACATGACCAACACAAATTTATGAAATGTAAAAGAAGTTACAGTTTGATTGTCTCATATATACACTCACAATATAGTCAAAGTCACTGGAATATTTACATATCTACGTTCCAGTCGGTTCAAAGGGTGTGTCTAGGAGTCTTCTTATTGGCTGACTGTGCAGTCTTACCACTGAGAATATATGACGTCATGGTATACAGCATCTTCTTATTGGTCGACTGGGTATCCATTCATGGGGATTTTTGACGTCATAACACACACGGCTTCTTCTTATTGGTTGAGGAACTATGACATCATGACGTAGTTTCATCTTATTGGTCGACTTAGTGGTTTATCATTGTTTATCTCTGACATCACTGTTACATGGTTTTGTTTGAGTTGGATAGAAACAACCACTTAAAATACATAATATCCACGGCGTCTGGGGAGTGAAGGGTTTTGATTGCTTACAGAATGACTGTCTGTTGAGGAAAACAATGAACACTTGGTAAACTTATCCCAACTTAGTAAAATCTTGTTAAAATAACTATATCAGCAAACAAGTGGATAATTTTCCCTATTTAAATGGATGCATAAACATAACCCCCCCAAAAAACAACAATAATATCAGCAATATAGACAGAAACATCATAAATATTTTAAATTTGGACTGATTTAAATATATATAATAATAATAATAATTTTACACAATATATCAACTATCTGATTTGTAAATTATCAAGTTCCTGAAGGAATTTGAAGCACAGCGAAGGTAGATATTGAGGGGGGAAGAGGAGGTTGAGGTTTCGTAATATCATGATAAAATATTTAAGGGGTATAAGGAGGTGTGACCCGCCATGCAGACAACACAAAAACTCTACAACAACAGCAGTTAATTAGAAAAAAAAATCAAAATTTCCTCCATTGGTGTAAATTTATCCTCTTGGTTCCTCTTGGTTCCTCTCCGTGTTTCTTCCTTCTTTATGGTCGTAAATTTATTTTTCCTCTTTTATTATTTATGTTTTGGGGGTAATTTATCGTCGCTCTTCATGTTATTACAATCAAGTCTCTGTGTTATTCCGCCGCCATCTTTTGTCAACTATTTTTAATACAATCTCAAGATTTTTTTTATATCCCCACAAGTCATAATTATAAGGCTTAAGTTAAAATCGAATTTATCTCAAAATCACACAAATATTTTAACGTAAGTCAATTAGTGGTTCGCTCTTTGTACCCCAAGAAAGTGAAAAATTAACTTAAGAAATATTGAAAATCTGTATCTTGTTCTATACATGTTAACGACGTCTCTCATTCTCTACGTTCCTCGTCCCGGTACCCACACGTCTTATCAATAACACAGATGACGAGGAAAGTTCACAATGAGGGATCCACACGTCACTCACTGCCCGTAATGAGGGACCCACACGTCACTCACTGCCTGTAATGAGGGACCCACATGTCACTCACTGCCTGTAATGAGGGACCCACACGTCACTCACTGCCTGTAATGAGGGACCCACATGTCAATCACTGCCTGTAATGAGGGACCCACACGTCACTCACTGCCTGTAATGAGGGACCAACATGTCACTCACTTCCTGTAATGAGGAACCAAGAGGTACAAGGAGACACCTGGAGTATACAGCAGTTTCTGTTGCCTTAGATAAACATAACCACAACTACGTCATCAATCAACTCAAATCCTCTTCTTCCCCTCTTCATTATTATTATTATTATTATTGTTATTATTATTATTATCATTATTGTTATTATTATTATTATTGTTATTATTATTATTATTATTATCATTATTATTATTATTATTATTCATTTATTTAATATCACGTCTTCCGTCTATATGTATATCTCATCCAGTCTCTCTAAAGGGCTGAATGAATGTTTTAGCATTCAAAAACCTCAAATATTTCTTTGGTATATACAAAACTCTTATCTACTGAAAATTCATACAAAATAGATTATTCTGTACAGTGATAGTTGATATAGTAATAAAGGATGATCTTCACTACTGAAGTATTTCCTGGTAGGTTATCACACGTGCCTAGTTCACATCTCTCACTGGTCCTCACGCTCATCACAAGTCTTTTCTTGGTATTGCTTCACTTTGGAAAGGTTTCAATCTTTGGCGTCATGGCTGTACAAATTTGTTTATCCTATTTTAATATTACAAACCCTGTGCTTCATTAGTCCTAACTCTCAGATCAAAAGTTAAATCTCTCGACAGACATTTTTGGACCTTGTCTCAACAATAGTAAACAGGAGCAGCCTGACGCAGGTGAACCACTATACGCGGCGACACACTCAGACAGAGTCCCAGCCTGCGTCGGCCTCAAGTAGTAATAAGTGTTCATAAGTAGGAAACAGAGCAAAGAAATGGGAGTAGGGGTGGAAGTTCTCACAAATGTTTATATATATATAATGTATATATATTATTCTGTCCAGCTCACACCTGTGTGCCCTGAGGCTGCTGCTGATCAGAGTAAGCCTCGTCAGGGGAGTACAGAACACGTGTTCCGGGTGACTCTGGGTGTTCACACCACGTACTCATGTTCACAGTCTCCTCATCGTGGTCTCCCCAGCCCTCAGGTGGGGGTGGTTCGGGATCGAGTGGTCTGTAGTTCTCCGGGAGGGAGTTGTCGTAAACGCGAGCTACCTGCTCGGTGTAGCAGCAATGACTCCCGCCGCAAGAGGAGAGGAGGTTGTCAAAACTGCAGCCGTCGCCCCCGATGCGGCCTCCTGGGTCTGCCTGGAAATCAGGGTGGGGTGGTGGTGGGCAGAACTCACACGATCCATTGTTAAGAACATTGAACTTGTCAGAGGACAGACCATAAGCCTGGGGGTAGCGGCCGTCAGGAAGCTGGAACTGAGGGTCGTGACTATGTAGAAGATACTCCTCAGGGTACTTCTGGTCATGCATGAGATCTGTTCGGGCGGTCATGCTGTGACGGTTGCGTCTGACGGTGGCATAGAGAGGGATTTCCTCAGTTGGCAGTGGGTTATAACTGGAGGAGAGTCCAGCTCCTGCACCAACTTCCTTCCAAGTGCCATTACCGTTACGGGGGAGGCCGTAGTCGATGGGGAAACCATCCCTGTCGTAGAAACGAGACCCTTGGTTCATCTCCTCCGGCGGGGGGATCTCTGTCAAGGGGTAAGGGTTTGCCACTTCCATCTCCCTCCGCCGCGGGAGTGTGGCGTATGGATTATTTCGGCTTGACCGACACTCTTGATCACTCTGAGACTGCAGGTGGTCGTACGTGGGGTCGTAGCCCTCCTCATACTCCTCCATAATATCGTCCAACTTCCGAGTGGTTCTCGCGCCGCACGCGTCCACCTCCTCAACCCCGAGGATGCTCACTCTCTTCTTCCCCGACTTACCTCGGTCCTCGGCAGCATCGGATATGAGGTCTGGATTGGTTTGCTGAGCCCCTGCTGGTTCTGAGCGATAAGGTGACGTGTCGATAACAGATATTGGTGCTGGTTCAGTGTTGATGCCGTTCACCTTGGGTGCTGGAGTGCCCATCTGGATGTATTTTGGCATGTTATTCGTCGATGGCACCGGAGCTTCTTTGGTTCTTCCATTCCCCGATGAACTAGGAGACCCTGTGACCTTCTCCTGGGCTGCTGACCGTCGACGGCAGCAGCGGAAAATAAGTACACACAGGAGGATGAACACGAGCACCACCAGGGACACGAGCGCCACGCCGATGTAAACAATGTGATCCATGACAAAGTTCTCCGGCTCTCTTTCGATCACCGGTTGGCTGATCCGCAGCGTAAAGTTGGAAACGACCAAGCCAGCCTGGTTCTCTGCTAAACACTGGAACACCCCAGCGTGGGCGTCCGTCACCCACTCGATCCGTAGGTGACTGATTCTCTCCTCGCTTGGCCCACTGTCTTCAAAGATATAAAACGAGGAACTTTCGTCGTACACAAAAGAGCTATTTTCTAGCGACTGTTCATTATATTTCCAGTATATACGAGCACTGGGTTCTGCTGTAACATGACACTCGAATGACACATTCTTACCCTCCATGACGTCGAGGTAGAGAGAGGTTGGCCTGACCTCTGGAGCACAGGCAAATTTATCCGGATGGACATTCTTGATGACCTGGCCCTCGAGTCGTGGAGGCGTAGAACACTTGGGCTCGATCGAAGATGGCACATTATACTTAACCAACCACGTCCGCAACTCCTGCAGGTGGCAATCGCAGTTCCACGGGTTGTTGTGTAGGTCAATGCCGTGGAGTGATTTGGGCAGCATCATATTGAGCGGCACAGACTTGAGCTGGTTAGAATCCATCTTGAGCCACTCCAGTTGATCTAGACCTTGGAAGGCCCTCGGCTCCATGGTCTGCACGAGGCATGAGGTCATCTCCAGCGTGGTGAGGTACTTAAGGCCTCTGAAGGCTCCATTTTTTATCTTAGTGATGGGGTTATTGGACATCTGGAGACGCATGAGCCCCGGTAAGTGCTCAAGGGCTGCTGCGGGCACAAGAGTTAGCTCATTATTGCTAAGGTCCAACTCCACCAGGTTAGTCAGTCCTCGGAATGCCGCGTCGTCCAGTTGTACCAGCTTACACCTGGAGACGTAGATCCGCTGTAAGTTGGTGAGTCCCATCACCTGCAACAAACAACAACCATTATTAAAATCAGTCCCAAAGGTTTAGTTGATGGAACCTATGTGGTGTATTAAAGTGTCGAGCAGAGCATATATACATACTCCAAAGACTATAAGCACGTCGACGACTACCTTCCTACTCGTTCACCATCTTCCCCAATGTACTGTACCCTCACATAATTCCCTCCTTCTTTCTTCTCTATTATCACCTTTTTCCCTTATCAGGGTGAGGTTAATTGAGAGGTGAGGTACGTGAGGTTTGAGGGCAAGTGAGGGGTGAGGTTAATTGAGAGGTGAGGTACGTGAGGTTTGAGGTTAAGTGAGGGATGAGGGTGGAGGATAGGTGAGAAGTGAGGGTAGGTGAGGAGTGAGGGTAGGTGAGGAGTGAGGGTAGGTGAGGAGTGAGGGTAGGTGAGGAGTGAGGGTAGGTGAGAAGTGAGGGTAGGTGAGAAGTGAGGGTAGGTGAGAAGTGAGGGTAGGTGAGAAGTAAGGGTAGGTGAGGAGTGAGGGTAGGTGAGAAGTGAGGGTAGGTGAGAAGTGAGGGTAGGTGAGAAGTGAAAAAGATAATATTTACATATTTGTCTACCGAGAAACAAATATCTATAGCCACACCAACAGCCACACCAACATCCTCACTAACAACCACACCAACAGCCACACCTACTGTGCAATCACACTAACAACCACACCAACAGCCACATCTACTGTACAATCACACTAACAACCACACTAATAGCCACACCTACGCCCACACTAACAGCCACACCAACAGCCACACTAATAGCCACACTAACAGCTACACCAACAGCCACACTAACAACCACACCAATAGCCACACCTATAGCCACACCCCACACTCACCTTAAACTTCTCATGAGACAGGATGACCAGGGAGTTGCCAGTAATATCCAAGACTTGTGTGCCGGGGTCGATGCCTGGCGGAATGGTGTTGAGCCCCTTGTTGACACACTCTACAGTCTGCTTCCCGCCCTGCAACACGTGTTTCACTAGTTAGATAACATCCCTGCAACACGTGTTTCACTAATTAGATAACATCCCTGCATCACGTGTTTCACTAGTTAGATAACATCCCTGCAACACGTGTTTCACTAGTTAGATAACATCCCTGCAACACGTGTTTCACTAGTTAGATAACATCGCTGCAACACGTGTTTCACTAGTTAGATAACATCCCTGCAACACGTGTTTCACTAGTTAGATAACATCCCTGCAACACGTGTTTCACTAGTTAGATAACATCCCTGCAACACGTGTTTCACTAGTTAGATAACATCCTGCAACACGTGTTTCACTAGTTAGATAACATCCCTGCAACACGTGTTTCACTAGTTAGATAACATCCCTGCAACACGTGTTTCACTAGTTAGATAACATCCCTGCAACACGTGTTTCACTAGTTAGATAACATCCCTGCAACACGTGTTTCACTAGTTAGATAACATCCCTGCAACACGTGTTTCACTAGTTAGATAACATCCCTGCAACACGTGTTTCACTAGTTAGATATCCCCTGCAAATACGTGTTTCACTAGTTAGATAACATCCTGCAACACGTGTTTCACTAGTTAGATAACATCCCTGCAACACGTGCTCACTAGTTAGATAACATCCTCGCAAATACGTGTTTCACTATTAGTAATCCCTGCAACACGTGTTTCACTAGTTAGATAACATCCTGCATCACGTGTTTCCACTAGTTAGATAACATCCCGGCAACACGTGTTTCACTAGTTAGATAACATCCCTGCAACACGCGTTTCACTAGTTAGATAACATCCCGCAACACGTGTTTCACGAGATAACATCCACGCATCCTGCAACACGTCTTTCACTAGTTAGATAATAATCCCTGCAACACTTGTTTCACTAGTTAGATAACATCCTGCAACACGTGTTTCACTAGAGATAAATAGCATACCTAGTTAGATAACATCCCAACACGTGTTTCAATTAGTTAGATAATCTCTGCAAACACGTGTTTCACTAGTTAGATAATATCCCTGTAACACGTGTTTCACTAGTTAGATAACATCCCTGCAACACGTGTTTCACTAGTTAGCTAACATCCCTGCAACACGTGTTTCACTAGTTAGATAACATCCTGCAATACGTGTTTCACTAGAGATAACATCCTGCAACACGTGTTTCACTAGAGATAATATCCGCAACACGTGTTTCACTAGTTAGATAACATCCCTGCATCACGTGTTTCACTAGTTAGATAACATCCCTGCAACACGTGTTTCACTAGTTAGATAACATCCCTGCAACACGTGTTTCACTAGTTAGATAACATCCCTGTAACACGTGTTTCACTAGTTACATAACATCCCTGCAACACGTGTTTCACTAGTTAGATAACATCCCTGCAACACGTGTTTCACTAGTTAGATAACATCCTGCAACACGTGTTTCACTAGTTAGATAACATCCCTGCAACACGTGTTTCACTAGTTAGATAACATCCCTGCAACACGTGTTTCACGAAAGATAACCTGCAACACGTGTTTCACTAGAGATAACATCCTGCAACACGTGTTTCACTAGAGATAACATCCTGCAACACGTGTTTCACTAGAGATAACATCCTGCAATTGTGATTGTTTAAGAGCTACGTATATTACTGAAAATCCTTGCACTTGGTTGGTCAGTCATTTCCATGTGTTTGTGGAGACTATTAGTACGTGATTGGTCAGTCAGTCAAGTGTGTTTTGTGGGATTCTTGCATGTGATTGGTTAGTTACGTGTGGTTCTGAGGATTCTTGTATATTATTGGTCAGTCAATCAGGTGTGTGTGTTGACGTCCTCACCTTCCACTTGCAGACGCAGGCGTGGGGACAGGCCGCGCGGGCCAGGCCAGCCAACACGAGGGTGAGCAACACCACCAGCACCGCCCCCGAGCAGCGCCCGACACCCACGCCCGTCATTGGGGGGCCCTGCTCATCCTGGTACACCCATGCCCACGCCCTTAGCCCTAGGCGCCGCCGCGGTCACCAACATGTCCTCGGTGTCTCATTCATCGCTGGTGGAGTGTTGACCTGTAGCAACTGACCTCACCGACCATCGAGGGGAGGGACCTCTGAGACTGGGCTTGAAGGGGTCACCACACGGGGTCACCAACCGGGGTCACCACACCGGCTCACCACAGCAGGGTGCCACACGGAGTCACCACACGGGGTCACCATACGGGGTCACCACACGGGGTCACCACACCATTGTTTACATCGTCCAGAGCCCCGTCAGGCACCCTCCTTCACGGTCTCGTCAAATCTGAAAAAAAAATCGTGAAATTGAGAGAGACGGAGATGTGGAGGATAGGGTGGAGCTGTGAGGAGGTGAAGGTGTGGAGGAGATGGTGAAGGTGTGGAGGAGATGGTGAAGGTGTGGAGGAGGGGAGGAGGTGAAGGTGTGGAGGAGGAAGTAGAATTGAGGAGGAGGAGGTGGAGGAGGTGAGAAGGTGAAGGTGTGGAGAAAGAGGTGAAGGTGTGGAGGGGGAGGTGAAGGTGTAGAGGAGGAGGTGAAGGTGTGGAGCAGGGGATGGAGGTGTGGAAGACGGGAGGAGGTGAAGATGTGGAGGAGGAGAGCGTGGAGGTGTGGAGGAGGGGGTAGAGGTGTAGCGGGGAAGAAGGTGTGGAGGTAGTGGTGGATGGGGGCAGGGTTGTAGGGAGTCAAGGGAGGGTAGAGGGAGGTGAAGGGAATTGAGGGAGGGTGGAGGTCACTGAGGGAGGGAAGGATATTATTATTATTATTATTATTATTATTATTATTATTATTATTATTATTATTATTATTATTATTATTATTATTATTATTATTATTATTACATGTCCGTTTTCCCTATATTATTTTGAAACTGGTTTAAAGCAACAGATAGATCTACCAGTGAACACACACACACACACACACAGACACAGACACACACAGACACACACACACACACACACACACACACACACACACACACACACACACACACACACACACACTTATACCTCTAATTTTAGCAAGAAAAAAATAGTAATACAATTTTTGGGTCGGGTGTGAGTCGTAGTGAGGCAAGGAGACGAGAAGGAGGGAGCAAGAGGGAGGAGGAGAGAAAGGGAGGAAGAAAAGAAGGAGGGGGAGGATGTTAGAGAAGGAGGGAAGAGGAGGGAGGATAAGAATGAGGAGGAGGAGAGAGAGGAAGAGAATAAGGAGAAGCAAAAGAAAAAGGAGGAGGAAGGTATAGAGGGAGGAAGAGAAGGAGGAGGTAGGAGGTAGAAGGAGGAGGATGCCATTGCCACATGACATATATATATAATTCATGTAAAAAAAAAGAATGAATAATATGAATGTTATCTTTTGCATGTGGGTTAGTCTCCTTGGTCCAACTCTGCACAAAGTCCCGTTACACCACCTCCTTCACGACTCTCTTTCTCTCTCTCTCTCTCATTAAAGACAGATAAAGAGAGATAGAGCTGATAATTAATGATAATTTAGATAACGATAATAATAATAATAATAATAATAATAATAATAATAATAATAATAATAATAATAATAATAATAATAATAATAATAATAATAATAATAATAATAATAATAATAATAATAATAAATAAATAAACACAGACAGACAGAGTGAATGCAATATCTCCCAGCCATTTCCTCACTGTCACTAAGGGAGGTCACAAAATATTAAACCTTTATAGATCACCACTACGGTCATATCCACTTGTGTTTCAATATTGACCACTCGGTGTAACGTGACCTTTGACCTGCCGAAATTGGAGAGGGGGGTTTAAAATGCGCACACACACACACACACACACACACACGCACACGCACACACACACACACAAAGACACAAATAAACAGAAATATATCTACAGACAGACAGACAGACAGACAGACAGACAGACAGACAGACAGACAGACAGAAAACGAGAGATAGAGACATAAACAGAGAGAATGAAAGAGACAGACAGACAGAGATAGAAAAAGATACAACGTCGTTTTCTTCTTTTTTCCGTCAACAAGCAGCTTAGAGCAGCCAAATAAATGCAGTGAACCCGAGACTGACCACCGGTGTAGAGGTGTAGGTGAGCTGCACTGATACTGTACCCGTGTGCTGAAGCCGCTCGCCTACACCCCATCACCTGGTAGGCTTCTCTCTCTCTCTCTCTCTCTCTCTCTCTCTGGTGGGAAGGAAGGAGGATAGAGGGAGAAATAAAGGAGGGAAAGAGGAAAGGAAGAAGGGAAGGTTGAAGGACGGAGGGAAGAAAAAAGAGAATAGAGAGAGAAATAAAGAGAGGGATGGAGAAAACGAAGGAGACAGGTAGGGGAAGGAAGGGAGGAAATGAAGGAGAGAGAGAAAAAAAAAAAAAAAAAAAAAAAAAAAAAAAAACCGTGATTGTAAGTTGATCTCGACTATCACCTGGCTTCACTGCAGGCCCTTTACAGCCGAGCTTCTCAAGACACATACACAAGGATAAGCTGGCCAAAGTCACGTACCAGTCAGGTGATACATGGAAGGTGATACATGGAAGGTGATACAGAGTGTTGGTGATACATGGTGTTGGTGATAGATGGTAGGTGATACAGGGTGCTGGTGGACAGGGTGTTGGTGATACAGGGTGTTGGTGATACAGGGTGTTGGTGATACAGGATGTTTGTGATAAAGTTGGGTGATACAGGATGTTGGTGATACAGGAGTTGTGGGTGTTGGTGATACAGGGTGTTGGTGATACAGGATGAGGATACAGGATGTTGGTGATACAGGGTGTTGGTGATACAGGATGTTGGTGATACAGGGTGTTAGGATACAGGTGTGGATACAGGATGTTGGTGATACAGGGTGTTGGTGATACGGGATGTTGGTGATACAGGGTGTTGGTGATACAGGGTGTTGGTGATACAGGGTGTTGGTGATACAGGATGTTGGTGATACAGGGTGTTGGTGATACAGGGTGTTGGTGATAAGGATGTTGGTGATACAGGGTGTTGGTGATACAGGGTGTTGGTGATACAGGATGTTGGTGATACAGGAGTGGATACAGATGTTGGTGATACAGGTGTTGGTGATACAGGTGTTGATGAGGTGTGTGGTGTGGTTGGTGATACAGGATGTTGGTGATACAGTGCGTTGGTGATACAGGGTGTTGGTGATACAGGATGTTGGTGATAGATGGTAGGTGATACAGGGTGTTGGTGATACAGGGTGTTGGTGATACAGGGTGTTGGTGATACAGGATGTTGGTGATACAGGGTGTTGGTGATACAGGGTGTTGGTGATAGAGGGTGTTGGTGATACAGGATGTTGGGTGATAGGTGCAAGGTATGAAGGATACATGGTGTTGGTGATAGATGGTGGTGATACAGGGTGTTGGTGATACAGGGTGTGGGTGATACAGGTTGTTGGTGATATAGTGTGTTGGTGATACAGGTGTTGGTGATACAGGGTTGGTGATACAGGGTGTTGGATACATGGTAGGTGGTGGGTGTTAGTGATACAGTGTGTTGGTAGTGATACAGGGTGTTGGTGATACAGGTGTTGGTGATACAGGATGTTGGTGATACAGGGTGTTGGTGACATGGTAGGTGGTACAGGTGTTAGTGATACAGTGTGTTAGGATACAGGGTGTTGGTGATACAGGGTGTTGGTGATACAGGATGTTGGTGATACAGGGTGTTGGTGATATGGTAGGTGTACAGGTGTTAGGTGATACAGGGTGTTGGTGTTACAGGGTGTTGGTGATACAGGGTGTTGGTGATACAGGGTGTTGGTGATACATGGTAAAGAGTTGTTCCTCCCCTTTCTTCTCTCCTTCCATTATTTCTCTTCCTCACCTTCCCTCCCCTCCTTCTTTCCCCTGCTTCCCCTCCTTACCTCCCCTTTCACCCCTCCTCCCCTCCTTCTCTCCATCCCTCCCTAAGCGAGAGAGAGAGAGAGAGAACACAGAGGAAAGCAGAAATTTGCATGAACAGGCACAAGCGTGATAGTATTAGCCTATAAAACTCCTGCCTACCTTAACACACACACACACACAAACACACACACACACACACACACACACACACAGCCATACTCAAGACATAAGCCATCTCGCATATCATGGAAAGCTTATTTGCAATTTTACCCCCACCACCTCCCTCCTCCTCTCTTGTTGTTCTTCCTTCCTGTATACTCCTCTTGGTCACTCATCCCTGTCACCCTCCTCCCCTCCTCCTCCTCCTCCTCCTCCTCTTCCTCCCGCTTCAATATCTTTCCCACAATAAAATTCTAAGTAAAGAAGTAAAATAAATTTGTATATATTGGACACACCAGTTTCTTTAAACACATGGGCACCAGTCTGGGAGTTAGTCCTCACGTGAGAAATACTTGACTATATTGGCATAATACACTATCATGTGTTTTCTGGAAGTGTGTTTATCATTATAGTGAAATCTCCATATAACGGACTTTGATTTAACGGACTACCCTCTAACATATAGTCCGTTAAATAGAGGTTTTTACTGTTCTCACACCCAACGCATTCCCACGGGTATTTTGCAAGATATAATGACGTTTATGAAAAAGGTCCCCGTTAGTGATATGTTATATAAAGTTCGCTATTGTTATTGTCTTTTATTTACGAGAGTTGACGCATAATAAAGACAAAATATATTACCAAGACTTTTGAGAGCTGGGCGAGTTATATACATAGTTAATATAGCTGCAGGATAGTTAATATAGCTGTAGGATAGTTAATATAGCTGTAGGATAGTAAATATAGCTGTAAGATAGTTAATATAGCTGTAGGATAGTTAATATAGCTGTACGATAGTAAATATAGCTGTAGGATAGTTAATATAGCTGTAGGATAGTTAATATAGCTGTAGGATAGTTAATATAGCTGTAGGATAGTTAATATAGCTGTAGGATAGTTAATATAGCTGCAGGATAGTTAATATAGCTGTAAGATAGTAAATATAGCTGCAGGATAGTTAATATAGCTGTAGGATAGTTAATATAGCTGCAGGATAGTTAATATAGCTGTAGGATAGTAAATATAGCTGTAGGATAGTTATAGATACAGGATAGTTAATATAGCTGCAGGATAGTTAATATAGCTGTAGGATAGTTATAGTTACAGGATAGTTAACACAGCTGTAGGATAGTTAATATAGCTGCAGGATAGTTAATATAGCTGTAGGATAGTTAATATAGCTGTAGGATAGTTAATATAGCTGTGGGATAGTTAATATAGCTGCAGGATAGTTATAGTTACAGGATAGTTAATATAGATGCA